AAGATCAAAAGAACAAAGGATACCAAATACTGGCAAGGATGCAGGGAAAGAGGAACCCTCATTCACTGCTGGTGGAATTGCAAACTGGTGCAACCACTCTGGAAATTAATGTGGAGAATTCTTAAGAAACTAAAAATACATCTACCATCTGATCCAGTTGTACCACTACTTGACATAAACCCAAAGGACACAGCCTACTGCAGAGATACTTGCTCAGTCATGTTTATTACTAATCTTTTCAGAATAGCTAAGAAATGGAAACCACCTAAAAGTTCCTCAACTGACAAATGGATAATCAAAATGTGGTATATTTACACAATGGAGTTCTACTCAGGGGTTTAAAAAAAAATGAAATCATGAAATGTGCAGGTAAAGGACAGAACTAGAAACAGTTATTCTAAGTGAAGTAACAAACTCAGAAAATCAAGTGATGTATAGCCTGTCTCATTTGTGGGCCTTAGTTTCAAATCCTTGGATAGGAGCATATATCCTGATATAATCATAGGGGCCAGGAAAATGGAAGGAAAACATGGGATAAAGGGAAGACAGAGCTTGAAAGATGGGACTAGTAGGAGGCAGGTGTTATTAAGAGGTAAATGTGGGAAATGGGGGTATTTGACTGGGAAGGGAGGAGGGATGATTATACAAGGCACCATGGGAGTGAAGGGGAAGGAACCCAAAAGAGGGAGATAGGAGACAGATGCTATAAAGGAGGAAATGATGAAAATGTGGGTATTTTGACAGTAGAGGGAGGAGGGAGGCTTATACAGGAGAAGAGAGAGGTGAGATAAAGTAATGTTTAGATGGTGTGGAAACCCATAGTTCAAAAGAGTACTGAAAAGTTGACATTTTATATCATATAAATACATACATGTATATACAGGCATATATGTATGTATGTATGTATGTATGTATGTATATGAGTGCATGTGTATAACTGAAGGCCTGAAGGCTATATAACAAAAACAGCGCCAGACAGGAGAAATCTCCTTTCACATTGTTGGTTAGGGTAGTCCAAGAGGCTCCCATAATAACACAGGCTATTGCCACAGTCTTTGATTGTCTCCCGAACTTGAAGGTAAGACCCTATTGCTGAAGACAGGACATACTTTGTACACAGGACTTGGAGAAATAGAGGTAGAACTGACCTGGAAGCTTCCTCCCTGGAGACTAGCTCTCATAGTATCAGAGTTATATAAGCTGCCAAAGGAGAAAACCAATCAATGGTTCAACCCACCTGTAAAGCCACAATGATGACCGGCACAGCACACTACCTCTATTGGTGCAGTAGCGGCACTGTTATCTTGGGGGTAATCAACAGTTATCTAATTGAACTTAAGACCTGATCAATTGGAGGAAACTCATGTGTGGTATAATAAACACAGCCAAGTACACACAGCTGGAGAGATCCTAGATTCTAGAAAAAAACCCGTCTCTCACATCCCTAGACAAATGTAATTTGTTACTGTATGCTAAATATGTATCTTTATATTTACAGACAAGTGTACCTCTCACCACTCAACAAAGAAGCTTCTTTTTGCAACAGATGGAGACTATTAAAGTTTTGCAATTGGTCACACACAGAGAATAAGTGTCTATGAGATGCCTGGTCCTAAATGACACATCTACAATGGAACTTCTATACCTAAGACTCATGAAACATAATGAAAAAGCAGTAAAGAGAATATTAATACATCTCTCAGTTCTCACCAGCAAAGCTTCCTCATGCAACAGAGGGAGATTAAGAAAGAAGGCCACAGCTGACCAAAGTGTAGAGAATACGAGACTGCAGAGTGTGTATCCCTGGATAGGACCCCATATTAAACTTCACTCACCCAGGGCTCAGGGACCATTGCAGAAGAAGAGGTGGAAGCATTCTAAGAGCCAGGAGTGGTGGATGACTATAAGGGGCAGAGTTTTCCACACAGCTGGGGACTTGCTCATATGAATTCATAGCAATGGTGACAGCATGCACAAGACCCATGTAAACCCAAACCAGACAAAAACCCAGCATAGAACTGGGGAAATGAGTAAGAAGCCCTAGTCTTAGCTGAGGAACTATTGGCAACTAGTCATTGCTGGGGGTGGAGAGTTGGTCTTCTTTAACGGAGTGACCAGACTCCAGCGGATGGACTCACACTGAGGGACATTTGGGAACAAAAACTTGACTTGATAGACCTTAACATAATAACAGAATGCATGAAATCTGGTGGGGGGTTATAAGGCGATATATATAGGGGAGGAGTCTAAGTACGATTAATATGTATTATATAAAATGCACAAAAATTAAATAAAAAATTTATATGGAAAGATATAATTGATAAAAAGTTATTACATATCTTACAAATAACTATTAAATAACAGTAAGACAGGCTGGGGAGATGGCTTAGTGGGTAAAGTGCTTGCTGCACGGCAATGAGAAACAGAGTTAGGATCCCTAGTACCCACATAAAAAAGCCAAGCATAGTGCCATGCCTTTGTATTAGCCCAATTCCAAAAACATTATCAATACCAAATGCCACTAAGGAGGTGGAATGACAGCAACTCCCATTCTTTCTTGGTGGGAATGCAGAATGTACATGTAGTTTAGAAGACCTTTGAAAATTTTCTTACAAAACTAACAATACTCTTAAAAAATTGCTCCAGCAATTATGATGCTTGATATTTACTCAAATGAGTTGAAAGTAATGTTCACAAAAAATTTGAACATAGATATTTATAGGGGATTTATTCATATTGCTGAGACTTGAGAGCAACCGAGATGTCCTTCAGTAAGTGAATGGACAAATGAACTGTGATGTGTGAAGACAGTAGAATATTATCTAGAGCTAAAAAGAAATGAGCTATTAAGCCTTGAAAGGAAATACAGAAAGCTTAGGTGTGTATCACTGAAGGCAAGAAGCCAATCTGAAATTGCTCCATTCTTTCCATTCTTTGTTTTCAGTTATATGACATTCGGCTAAGGCTATTCCACAGAGACATGAAAAAGATCAGTAGTTGCTGAGGGCTAGAGAGGAGGGACGAATGAAGATGTGAGCATAAAAGGTCCCTAGGGCAGCGAAACTATTCTGTAGTGTATTTTAATGTTGAATATTTGCTGTTATGTATCTGTATGGAGTGTACAATGTCAAGAGTGAACAGTAAAGTAAGTGATGAGCTTTGGGCAATAATAATGTAGCATTATAGGCTCATTGACTATGACAAATGTCCCTTTAGCAGGGCAGGTGACCAGTGGGAACAATGATGGGGGGCCAAGGCACAGAGGAATTCTCTGAACTTTCTGCTCAGTTTCTCTTTCAGCTTTAAACTGCTCTAATATGCTTTTCAAAAATATACAAATTTGGTGTGGGAAGTCTTCTGTCTGGAAAGAAGAAAGCATGTGGGCTAAGGCACAAAAGAGAGATCTGACACTTCTGGTGAAATAATAGCTCTTATGTCTCTAGACTGAGATCATCAAACTCAGTTAAAGCAGGGTCAATGTCGCCTTCCCTTACACTTCTGTCCACAGGGTCTTCCACAGTGCCTGCCACAGGGGGACCCATCAATGAACAGGTACATGAGTGAAATGCTAAGTGTTCTGGGGATTTTCTAAGTACCACTTACCACATTCAACTGCTCCAGTTTTGGGAAGTTCTCAGGTACAATTTTTATTCCTTTATTATTAATTTGCATACAATTGTTACATAGTATCCTCCACATACCCTAAACTCTTACACACAATCACACACATGCATGCATATGAGTGCACATACACAACTAAGAGCTCCTTGAAGACCCTCAATATTTTTCATCTGCCAACATTTCACTTGGGCTTTCTATATAATGGACAAACAAACAGAAGTGGATTGAATTGAATTACCATGACTTGTTTAAATTCTTTTACTTAGGAATATTCACATAACAAGTCAAATACTATTAGCCATTAAATTAATATGCAATTCATATACTCAGTGTTTCAATATTTTTAGCAAGAATCTCTCTTCTGTGCCTGTACAGTGTATGTTGTAGGCTGGGTCACTGAACATGCAACTGGAACATCAGAACTATTGTTCAGGCATATGTGCTCAGAAGCCACTTGATTTTCCTGTGGAAATTTTCTGAATCCAGTAGCAGTTTATGGAAAACTTACTCAGACAGGGGAAATGTGAAGCTGGGTCTCGCTCAGGAATCTGAGTTTGTCAAGTATTATGGCCATTGTCAATTCATTCCCTGTTAAGGCTGGATGCAGCCCCTCTTTAAACAGCTAGGTAATCTTCAAGACCCTTTTTGCTCCAGACTTCTTTGTCATTTCAAGCTAAGTTTAGTCAATCTACTGAACTCCTAGGTTGCAGGCCAGTTTCCGTGATCATGCATTTTTCTGGCCACAAGATGGCGGACTTTATGTTGTTTTCTACAAAGTGCAAAGAACCTCAACCCTCTTGCAGCTTTGAAATTTTAAAACACCAATTGCTGGAAAAGGGCTGATAGATAAATGTAACATGGAATCTACATTCTGACTCTAAATGGCGTCTTAAATGCTTTGGATTTCCACAGTGAAGAGCTCCTCTTTTGAGAAGGAGCGCCGCTTTAGACTGTGTTTCTATACAAATGCAAAACTTCTCTGAGTTCAGAGACCACAAGTATTTTCATTTGTTTTTCTTTCTTTCTTTCTTTTTTTTTACACAATCCAGGAAAAAGATTTTAAAACTTAGAATTGATGAAAAAAAACACACACACAAAAACTTCTACTAAAGAAGCTACTTAAACTTTTGACTTTTTCCTTTACCCATGCCAACTGTGATAACTTGGGTTTTTTTGTGTATGGGGGGGTGTTGGGAAAAGTCACTGTGTTATAAGATTGTACTTGAAGCAGAAGTAGCAAACCATGATTCCTCTATTTTTTGCACCAAATTTGGAGTGAGGAAGATTTCAGAATCTTGATGTACGGTTCCTTAATTTCTAAGGAATTGAGTTTTTAAGATCTCTGTGATTTAAGGAGATTCATTGTGTTTCCAACTCACTCTGGTCAGAAGTTCATTCATTTCCATCACAAGTGTGTTGAGGTTGCCCTCTGCCAACTGAATGAGCCTCTCTGGTGCCCGCTGGGGTGAGAGCAGGTGCTGAAAAAGATTTCATACCATATACATCTTAGTAAATGGCTTTGCAGTCCTACTAGGGTTGAACAGAGCACATTTTTCCTGTATACACAGAGAACTTAGCTTTTCCACCTTCAATTCAAGAGAAACTATTACAACAGGCACTTACTAATGACTGCCATGCCAGATAATAAGAGTGGTAGCAATTTGTTCAGAAATTACTCCATACTGAGTTTTGTTTTTCTTTTCAATTCACTTTTTACAAGAGCTTTATGAGGTACAGTCCCATTTTCTGGATGAGCAAACTGTGGATTGAATAGGGTTTTTCACAGAAGACCACACAGCTAGTAATGGGTTGAGTTTAGCAATACATTGGATTCCTTAAGGCTCCCATTGCAATCAGAAGAACTACAGCTAATAGGTAAGAAAGAGAACAGAGGCCAGGGCCACAAGGACCTCACTTACTGAGCACAAACTTCCCAGGGGTCAGGAAGGGTAGGAGCTGGCCTGGCACACACAGGTGGGCCAGGTTTCTTTGTTGAACATAAATGTTCTCATAGGATTCTACCTTAGATAGAGTCACTCTGTGATAGTGATGGACCAAATGAAACGTGAGGCCACTGTGTAATCTTGTCTAAGCATAGACAGTACCATGTCCTTGTGCAGATCACAAAAATATCCCATTTCTTACCTAATAGGAGGGATGCCACTTCTTGTTAATTACAGCTTTGGCTACACTCTGCTTGTCCCTTCTAGATCAGATTCTCTAGAATAAGCAATTAAGGAGCTGTTCCTACTTCCTAACAGTACAGTAGAGTACAAACTCCTGCATCCTGGAATCTGCCCTATTTGAGGAGGCCAAGAACAAGTCCAAATACTGCATGTTATTGTCTACACCTTCTTATCGAGGCACCCCTGCAATTTCCCCGTGATGCTTAACATTCATGGCTCTGTAGGTCTTTGACTAGGACTTGGGGGACTGTGACTCAATAAAATATAATTTCCTAAAGGCTGTAAAGTATCAAAATGTTATTTTGAGTATTCAAATAATAGCTGCATTATGAAAAAAAAAAACCCAGAAATACAGAATGAAGAAAGCTTGGAATTTAAGGAATATCCAGGTCATTTTGATCAGCATTCAGACATTGGAGGGTGGGAGACTAAGTTCTTTGGGCCTGATGATGTTTGTGACTGAAAACTCTTTCAGAGGTCTTCTCCGGATTTCATCATCCATTGCTTAAGGACTATTTTCTTTCAAGGCTTTAAAAATATTTATTTATTATTCTGTGTATTTGATGTGAGGATGAAAGAGACAGAGACAGAGAGATGGGAGAGAGAGGGTATAGGTGTGCACACACCACAGCACACATGTGGAAGTCAGACGACAACTTCCTTCTAATGTCAGTTCCAAGGGTTCCAAGATGTTTATGTCCAACTGAAATATGTGCCTTTCTAATTTATTTTCTATTTTTTTAATATTTTCTCTCTATATATGGAAATAACTGGTCAGCCTCCTTTTCATGAATTGATTTATGCCATAAATGTAGCCATATAAGGTAAGGTAAATAGATTTGTGGCCTGGCTTTCAAGGCTGTCCATCATATGGCCCTCTTCAGGCTCCAGCTTTATCTCTAACAAGCAGGCCTGACTTCTAATGTCTGCCAGACAGGCCCAATGCATTCCCTCTGCCTTGTGTATGTGGCTCTCTTAGGAAGGATTCAATGGCAAGAGCATGGCCCAGGGCCAGGGAGGCCTTATCACTGGCTAGCTAGCTCCTCCCAGGTGAGTTATTTTTGTCTCTTTGGGGTTTACAAAGACTGTTTCAATGTCAAACACTGTCAAACTATACTGCTTCTATTCAAATCTCTCCTCTACACACATGAAATCTTGTGCTTCAAACAAAACTTCATCATGCCTCAGTTTCCCTATCTGAAATAAAATTAATACAGTGCTTTTGTTACAGTCAGTCAGTCTGCTGTAACAAAAATAACCATAGACTGGGTGGCTTGAGAAAAATGTTCATCTCTGAAAACTAGGCAGTCTAAGGTCAAGGTGTCAATCAATTTGGTTTCTGGCGAGGGTCTGCCTATGGCTATCTTCTCCCCACATCCTGGAATGGCTGGCAGGGAGATATATCCTTTTTCCTATTGTTATAAAGCCATTAATGGCATCATAAGGGTTTCATTTCCATGCCACAATTTAACCCTGATCACTTACCCATGACACCCCAGTTCAAAATACCATTACATTAGGGATTAGGGTTTGCTGAGATTACAGAATGTCTGTGTAGCTCACAAACATTAGGACTGAAATGTTAGTCCTAAGACAATGATATTAGAAAGTGGAGCTTTGGGAAAGTGATTGGGATACTAGGGCCAATCCCTTGTGCTTAGGATAGTGCGCTTTGAAATATACCCAGACAGTTCACTATTCTTTTCTACCATACGAGGACAAAGGAAGAAGGACGATTCTGTAAAGAACAAGCCCTTGCCAGACAATGAATCTGCCTTGATCTTGGGCTTTCAAGCCACCAGAATGGTTAAAAATAAGTTTCTACTGTTTATAAGCTTGCAAGTTATGATATTTTGTTGTAGCAACCAAGCAGGTAAGACAAGGCTTCAACACATGAATTTGGGGGACATAAACTTTATACAAAGTTCCTTCTTGGACTATTTTGTATGAGTCATGTATGATAATTCACATAAGATTTAATTATATAAATTTTTAATAAATGTTAGTTATTCTTCCTGCCATCATTACTTTCCTATTCTGGAAAACTGAGATGAAAATAAAGCAATGGTGGGCATTAAGTATAGTCCCTCTACAAGCAACTACCACCCTCTAGGGAATGAAGCTTAGGTTTCTTCCTACTGTTGTTGCTGGTATATCTCTTCATATTAAAGTGGAGTCTGTCATCCAACTTCCAACCAGATTATATCTCATTAGTGTCACATTCCCTAGTTACTCTGAGTCTTACTGATTTTTCTAATTTTTGTGCTTTCTTGTATTTCAAATCTTTAGATAACTATCTAACCATGCATTTTTGCTAAGGGCTTAATTATTATTTAACTTAAAAAAATAACATAGCATCTAATCTTCCTGAAGGTAGTAGCACAATCAGAATTGTTAAGAAATGCCTAGGCAACTGAGTATGACCCAAGGACCCTGGAATTTCTCAGTAAGTACTTGATTATTGAGTGACAACATCTAAGTAACTGAGTGTTATGTATACTTTTGTAAATGACCTCTGCAAACAACCCCAATTTTCTAAACATTTCCTCCCAGCTCTCCCCAGATTGAGACCTTTCTAGTATTGTTTCTGCATAGTGTATTTCTGGATTGGTGCTTTTAGAATCACTTTCAAAGTTGCATTTTATTTCATCTTGAGTTCTCAGCTCGACAATAAAAATAATTAGTGTTGATGAAAGCATTTCTAGATTCCAGGCACTTGAGTGATGGATGCCACCACTGAGGATCCACATTTGCATGATTCAAAGGGCAATTTGAGTGCATAAGTCATGAACGATTGTCATTCTGGACCCCTTGCAAGGAGCTCGCCAGTTAAACTGTAGGAATATGGAACTGAGTTACCACCTGTTGCCTGTGGAGGTGAGAACCAGTGGGGAAGCAGTTCATATCATTTTCTTCTTGCAAGAAGCAATTTATTTTCCGCTGAAGTCATATTACTTTAGATTAATGTTTTTAATTTGAGTTTTATTATTTTTGCAGGCTTTTGTAAGGATTAATTTGTTTTGATTTTATGGTGCTATAAGTATAAGGAACACATACCTGATTTTATGTTTGCACATGTTTAAGTCACATAATAAAACTGATTTAGGTCAAACAGAGGCAGGTACACAAGTCTCTTTTCCTTTAATAGCACTCGTCATACTGTAGTTCTCCAGTCTGAAACATTGGTTTAGAGCATCTGAACTTCCTCACAGCTGCTTGCCTGGTTTGAGGTAGTGGAAGCAGCAGGCACCCATGATGGCCAATACCACGTGGGAAGCATCTGCCGGCTCAGCCTTACACCTACTGCTAGTGCTGCCACCTACCTTTAGTTCCTGAGTTGTGTTTTCAAGACCATACAGAATTTTATATGGAGCAGGAAGTGGGCCTGTGAGGTTGATGTTCATGACTATCTGTTCCAGGCGAGCCAGGTCACCAAGAAGGAGGCCCGTGCACTCATCTCCACAAACTGTGAAAAGGAAACCATGAAGAATATTTACTTTGGCTGAACACCCCAGCCAGAGGCTCAAAGATTTCACTTTTGAGATGCTTTATGGACCAAACATAATTCAGAGACTCATCTCAGATAATTAATGCTACCGCATTGCGACAGCTGAAGAAAGATGAGAACAAAAAATGAATAAGTTACGTCTGTCACCCAGAATCTGAAATACAGAAGATGATCTAGTTAGAGGGCCCAAACAGGAGGAGCAAATTGAGGGTTTTTTTCGGGGGTTGGGGGACATGTTGCAGAACCAGTAAAAGAAATGCGAAACACGAAATATAAAACTTTGAAGAGTCCAAAACCCTTACAGGAGCACTGTATAGAACTCAACGCCAGCTGCATCTGAATGCTCTCTGTATCCAAGTGAGCTGAGCCACCTTCCACATTACTGGCCCAGAGTCTGTAGCAGATTGGCCTGCAAACTGCTTTGTATATTATCAAAAGTTATAAAACTACCATCTTGATACATATTCAACAGATATTGTGTGTGTGCACATGCAAATGCATGTGTGTGCCTGTGTTCGTGTGAAGGCCAAATATCTTCTTTTTAGCACTTTCTACCTTATGGTTTGAGACTGCATCTTTTATTAAACCTGGAGCTCACCATTTTGTCAAGACTGGCTGGCCAGCAAGACCAGAGATCCTCCTGTCTCCATCTCCTGAGCATTGGAATAACAGATATATGTCGCTGTATCTAGCTTTTTACGGGTGTGCTGAGGATCCAAACTTAGGAGTGATAAGCACTTCACTGATTGAGCTATCTCTCCAGACTCTCAGCAGAATCAAAGAAGGAAACTCTCCTCTAATTATTTTTCCCAGTCTTGATATTTATTTTTATCTCTGTTATTGCCAGTTCTTCCGCTTTCATCCCAAGCATGCTATGACTCATTATGTGCTGCAGCCCCATAGATCTCTACTTAATGATTAACTTTATCCAGTTTTGTAAATGAACACCTTTTAAGGGCAGGGTAAGATCTGTTTTTTAAGTAACTGAATTTGTTAACATCACTCAAATTAGCTTGCTAAGAATCAGAAAGAGGAACTCTTCAAACTTCATAGTGGTAGGCAGGCATAGAAAGATAAATGGATTGTTGTCTTTTCATTACCAAATAAAATCTGTAAACAGTATATTTTTTAATGGATATATATTATTTGGAAAGTTATACAAATAAACATAATTCACTTTGCGTTTTTTGAGACAAGGTCTAATGTAGCCAAAGCTGGTCTCAACTTAGGTAGCTAAAGATGACCTTGAACTTCAGCTCCTCCTGCTTCAACCCTATGAGTATTAGACTACAGGCATGAGCTGCCATGCCTGGTTTATGCAGTGCTGGTGATCCACAGAACCCAGAGCTGACTTCATGCATGCCAAGCAAACACTTTCTCTACTAGGCTACATTCCCAACCCCTCATTTTTCATTTTTAGGTTTTATATGGCAGAATAATCACATTTATCTTCACACTAAGAAACATGGACTGACATGTATATACAATTACAATTTCTATAGTCTATTCTGCAGACAGAGGTATCAAAATCATATCCATGTTAGAAAAGAGAAATATCTATAACATGGAAATACTGCAATCTGGAACAGGATTGGCTCATGCCCCAAACTGGCAAGAATTCAATTAATTAGTTCTCTAAATAGTACTCCCCTGAGTGACTTAATGGAGAGAAAACCATTAACAGAAGCTTATTAATAAGAACAAGTAGTAGAAAGGGTGATTTTTTGATAGGACAGCAGTTAGAGGTGAGTTGCCATATCCTTCACAGGGATTTCACTGCCCCAGCAGGGCTTTTAATAAATCAGCTCCTTTCAGGTAACATATACAACTGTGTAGCAGCATGTGAGTTACTCTGCAAGCTCCTGATACTTTACAAGTGAGTGAACAAGAGACTCTGGATGCAGGAGCAAAAGTTACGAGCTAGAACTGTCTCTCATACTATTCCAACTAGAATGAAGAGAATTTTTTGCATCATGGAAACAAAATAAAAGGAAGAACGCATTGTGGTTTCTTCAAACCCTTGAGCAGGGCCACTTTAGACAGACCTGTCGACATTCATTATTGTTAAAAAACACATCACAGGACACAGTGAAGTATTAAATGGTTTAAGGGTGAAGATCTCTGGTATGATTCTCAAACTCCAGTGGGCCTGTGAATCACTGGAATGGCTTTCTGAAATCCTAGAGGACTAAGCTTTATTTTGGGTTTCTGATTCTGGAGGTGATCAAATGCTCTGGTTTCTGATTCTCATGCTGAGAATGTACTTTCCTGACAAGCTCCCAGGTGACACTAATACTGCTGGTCTGAGCACCACGCTGTGAGTAACAACCAGGCCAGCAGTATAGGGAGCTTAATAGAAATGCATCACTTTGGGTGTATCCACCCCAGAGCTTACAAGTCACAGCCTGCATTTAGAAAGGGTCCATGTGACCTATACACATGAATGTCGAGAAAGCCCAGCTGGAGAACAGTAGTTCTCAGTGTTGAATGCACATTGGAATCATGGGGATGTAGAAAGTACAAATGCCTGGGCCTTTCCCTACTTCACCTCAGAGATTCTGATTCAATATGTCTATGATAAAATTCAGGCATCAGTATTTCTAAAACATTCCAGATGATTTTCTCGTATACCCAAAGTTTTGAAAGACTAAACCATGTGATAAATCAAAGAGATGCTCAATGCTAAATGGAGGAAGGATTGGAGGAGGTCATTTTGCTTGTTATCTCCTGCGTCTGGGATACATCATCTTCATCCACCTGGCTCCAAAGTGTTCAGGTCAAATGTGTGGCTTCCTCAGAAGGGAAGATGTTGATGACTGATGTTGCTGTTATGTGAACTAGTTACAAGTCCTGTATTCCCTGTGTCTTATTAATTTAACCCTCACGCTTGTGCTGGCTATTATCATTTTGTCATTTATATAGTTATACATTGTTTCCCCTTCAGAAGGGACTTTAAACATCTTGGTCAGAGTGTCTAGGAGCGTACACAACAGGAAAAATTCAGTGACTACTTGTGCATTATTATCTTTGTGAAGAAAGGGAAAGAAGATATTTTGAACACTAAGAATGACAGGGGTCAATATTTGAAGAAGACACCTGGCAGACATACACAAATTCATGAGAGGATGATTTAAAAAGGGAGGTAGGGGTTTTAGAACAGAGAGGGGAAGATGTTGGGTGAGTAGAAAATGTCTGAATGTGAGAATCACATGATTAATAAGAAATGTGTAGAAACAAAGATGTGGAAGAATACAGAAGAGAATTAGAAGAATAATTAGAAAGAAAGATAATAGTCTGACACTAGAGAGGCAGAGACTGTCTGAAATCAAGAAAGATAGTCTTTATCAAATTCCTAAAGGACTCTATATCCTATTACCAAGATATTTGCTCATCCATGTTTATTGCTGCTGTATTCACAATAGTAAGGAAATGGAATCAGCTTAGATGTCCATCAACTGATGGATGGTCCATGAAAATATGCTACATGTATACAGTGGGGATTTTATTTAGCTCCAAAGGAAAATAAAAATTATGAAATGTGCAAGTAAATAGATGAAATTAAATGGCTAAAAAAATTTACTGAGTGAGATGACCCAGGCACAGAGAAATAAATACTGTATGTTCTCCCTCATACGTAGATCCTAGCTTTGAATCTCTAATCTGTGTGTTCTATTTAGAGTTCCTAGAGAGGCAGAAAATCTAGAATGGGGGTTCCTTAATGGAGGGGAGATAACAGAATGTAGATAATATGAAAGTAGAGGAGAAAATGCTGGAAGTGGAAAGACTTAAGAAGGGAGAGGGTGGGAGGATAAGATATGAGAAAGCAGAAGAGTTAGCAAAAGGATGCGTGCAAGAAAAAGCATACAGAAACTTACTACATTATAAATAAACTACAATGTGTAATCTGTTTTTAAAATGTATTGGGGTTTCCTATCCTCTTTCCCACTTCTGAGCTGGGATTTTGTCTGGCTTGAGCTCATATAATTCCTAGCTGAAGCCGAGGAATTATTGGCAACTGCTGGGAAGCGCGATTCAGTTTTCTTTATGAATGTGACTCTGGGTAGGTTTACGAGACTCCAGTGGCTAAACCCACACTGGAGGATGTGTCAGAACACAGGTTTGACTCAATAAACCT